TTTCCTATCCCAAATCTCCATTATTCTTCCTTCAGCCACACTCTAACATTGTAATCCTTGGGCATGTATACACATGCTCCAGGAGTGGTGGTGGTGGAGGGGGTGCTTTAATTAGAGTGGCTCTTAGAGTATCATGTGTATCAGCAACCCTGGGCTGAAAAATGGTGGTGCGGGCAATTTAACTAAAGCTCATTCAATGAGCTTTAGTTAAAGCACCCCTGTCGCCATTTTTCAGTGCAGGGATGCTGATACATGTGACTCTGGAGTCTGCTGTAATTACAGTACATCAGAGCGACCTCGCTGCATGTCTATAGGCACACCCAGTTTCCAGTCCCTTTCATTAAGGAAACCAGTAAGTTAATCATAGGTTACCTATGTAACTAACCTAACTAAATCATAACTAAGAATAGGTAAGAAACTAAAAATAACATAGTATATTTTCACAGATGCCATGGCCATAATCTTACAAACCAAAGGACATTGTGCCTTCAGTTGCCTCCCTATTATTCCAGGAATATTGCAAAGACAAAATTTTGTAAAATTGCCAGTTAAAGCAAGAATCTGCAAATTACCTTTATTTAGCGCCAGATCCAAATGTGATAGTAAAGGTGGTCAGGACTTTGTAGTAGACACTTGTCCTCACGCAAGAACACATCCAGAAAAAGCAGAGCAGTAGAGCAGAACAGTAATGTCTTACACACATTAACTACTGTGTAAAACACATTTGGGGAATCATTATGACTGGTTTTATGTAGAAACTGATTTGTAAGAAACTATGTAAAAATAACATATAGCAGAAGATCTGTTTTTTGGAAAAATTTGTAAAATCAAAGTTTATTTTGATTTATTGAGTCACAATATTTATATTTATATATTATGAAGTATATTCAAAGTAATTTTTTAATAATGTCTTTTTTCTGTCTTTAGATCTGGTGAAAAACTCAGAATACAATTTAAGTAACTGCTCACTAAGTAGCTCTGAAAATCCATATGCTACCATAAAAGATCCACCAGTGCTGGTACCAAAAAACACAGAATGTGGATATGTTGAAATGAAGTCACCAGCACGCAGGGACTCGCCATACACTGAGATCAGCAACTCTGCTTCAGCCAACAAGAATGTCTATGAAGTTGGTAAGTACAATCTGTAATTACATTTTTAGATAGTGCAGAATAAGAACAAATTGCACAAGACTCCCTTTGAGTAAGGGTCACCAAAAATGGGCAAAAAACACTGAAAAATATTGACACTTTAGAAGTGTTTAACTATTCTATAGCTGTATGAACAATCACAACTTTGAAATATGTGATGCGATTCATAATAAATATAGTTTTAGGTACCTTAGTTGTTATTGTCTAATTAAATGGCACCCCCTAATTTTACTTCTCTGGCTCTTTTTTGAGCAGTATCTTTTAAGAAACATGGCATGTTAACTCAACTCTGTACTAGGCGAGGCATGCTCAATCGACCTCCAGCCATGCAGATCCAGCCTGTGGAGCCATATCACCCGACCTGCCAGGCTCACCATGGGTCCGAAAATTTTGAAGCGGGGAGCAGTGAAAGTGTTAATTGCCACTCCCCTGCTGACTTATTTCTGGACATGTGGGGAGCCCAGCAGGCCAGATAGTAAACCTAGACATGTGGGGCTGGGCCAGGGTGGTGCAGGACCCCTTATACTAACCTCTCAAAAGATCACTCCACCCACTGATCTCCATGTCCACTGGTGCTGAAGGGCCCCTGATTCTGCAGCAGGCCGTGCCCCCAACTTCTGGTGGCCTGCCGGTAATCTAGCAGGCTAGACAGAGCAGCTCCACAGACTGGATCTGGTTCATGGGCAGTATGTTTGATACCCCTGATATAACTAACCAGCTTTGAAGTCAACAATTTTTGTGGTTATTGTTGGGGATTCTTCCTTCTACCCAATTTCTTTCTCTTCGGGTTGAGTCTGGCACAAGAATGTAACCCTGGTATTATGGGTCTAAAAGCTGGTGAGGCTCTAGAGTCCTTGATACAACTCCTGACTTTTCCTGCGTGCTCAGCCTCTGGTCTTCCAGACACGCATGAAAAGAGTTGCTTTTGTATAACCATTCTTGAAGAGAATGATTCACAGATTCACAGAAATTTAGGGCTGGAAGGGACCTCATGAGATTATCAGGTCCACCGCACCTGCTCTGGCCTTGCACGGTTCTTGGGTTAAGATACTGCCAAGCAAGAAAAACTGGAAATGAGAGACTGGAGGTACAGAAAGGCATACAGCGATTCTTGCTCTCAAGCCCTGAGGACAGCTAAGTGCACAGGAGAGCACTCATTGGCTGTCCACCTTCTATCCTGCCCCTTCCCTTATAGGGGATAAGAGGAGAGTGGAGCACTGTGGGATGGTGGAGGACCCTCTGTTATGCCCTGTAGAGTGAGCAGAAATAATAGAGAGCACTTTGGCCATTTCTGGAGCACTTCACAAGGTGCTTACATCTGTCTACTTGCTCTTTTAAGCACCCCAAAAGAGTGTGAAGTGCTTCAAATGTTAAATCTGTCCAAGGCCCTACTTAGCCTTGTCTCTGCTGTGTGGAGTTTGTGAGCTCCATCACAGCTATGTTGTCTTAATTTCAGAACTTGGAGCTGGGTGAAAAAAATGTCTTCATTTTTAAGTATAGGGGAATATTGAGCAAGACTATTTTGTTCATTTTCATGAAATGCAGTATTTTCCTCCCATTTGTCATTGTGAGCACACTACCATGTGTTCTCTTTTATCACAGAACCTACAGTGAGTGTCGTCCAGGGAACATTCAGCAACAATGGACCTTTCAGCCAAGATCCGTATGATCTTCCGAAAAACAGCCACATTCCATGCCATTATGACTTGCTACCAGTTCGAGATAGTCCATCCACTTCTAAGAAAGAGATCAGCAGTGAATGACACTTAAAGGTCATTGTGCAGAACAGTGGAACTCTTAAGGAGAACAGCAGCCTGCTTATATCCTCCTCCTAGTTTGCCATCAGTTTGGCTCCTAATCCATTCAGTAGACAATTTTTGTATGTTAACCAAGAATCTCAAGATGAGGTTTGTATACACACATGGTCGATGGATAGATGCCAAGTTGAGGAGGTACGGATCAGATTTTTAATTAAAATTAATTTTATAGAGACGCCAATGCAGCACATATACATTGTAATATACTGGCTTAAACACAGTAGTTTGCAGTACAGTTCTGATAATTCCTATTTCTGCAACTTTGAAACTGGAATACATGTTTGTTGTTTGCTTTCTCATGTTTCAAAGTAGAGATGCCCCCAGGACAGTTCAACTGACCAAACACCTACCTTGTATAGGTAATCTGACTCATCATTACCTATGAGAAAAATGGTCTTGTTCTTAAATTTCTTCACTTTGCAATGTATTGCAGTGGATTGTCTTTCATCAAGACACAAAGAGACGTGGTCTGAAGGTGTGTATCGGTTGCAATACTGCAACAATTTGGAAGACTCAGCACAAGATTTTTTTTATGTCCATATTTTGCCATGAAAATACAATGCCTGAGTAATTTTAAAGGTGATGAAAACACTGCATGCAATAATGTTACTGCTATGCCTTGAGATCAGTGGATACCCCACATTTATAGGTTTGGGCACCAATCGGTCCCAGACAATTGGGCACATTTCAGTTACATATACTGTAGTTCCGACTACTCTTCCTGTCATACACAAGTAATAATAGCATATCAGTAATTATTTCATAAATATATAAATGAAATCAGTTTATTTTTGTCAGAATGGACTGTGTGTGCAAGGAATTGATAAAAATGATGAGTGTTATGAATCTGAAATCAAGGAAAGGTTTAAATTTTATAAACAGGTAGTAAATGGGCTGTAATATAGGGTAAGAATAGTACAATGTTTTGATTAATTTTCCCCTAGAAATGATGGAACAATCTCTGCATATTTGCTAAAAAGGCACCTTTTCTTTTTCATAGCTGATGTCGGGAAAATATGCTTAAGCTGGTCTTTTGCATTGCTAATAACGTATACCCCATTTTTCATTAACTTGTATCTCCGCTTTAAATTGTGTATCTATGTTTCTAGTGTTCTAGTTTATAACTGCAAAAATATTCTCTTGTGTATCCAGGGTTTCTTGCATTTTTTACCAACTGACCTTTATTTTTCTGTTTAAGGAGTACTGTCCTTTGGGGAGAGAGCATAAAAATGAGATTTAATATAATACTAAAGTCCACCGATGATGGATTAACCAAGCTGAAGTGTAATGTATATGGATGGAATGAATTGGCCAAAAAGAGAGAATATTTTAAGGTGTTTTCTTTGAGGGCTAATAATTATGACAAGAATGCAAAATAAGTTGGCACAGATGGGAAAGAAAATGGAAGACTTCACTTAGAAATAAGGTCACTTCTTTGCCCTACCATATGGAACCTGAAGGCATTCTCTCCCCTCCAGCTCCCAAATATAGTCAATCCATGGTCAAGACCTCATGTATTCTGCAATTAAGTGGAAGTAGGGTTTCCAAGGATCTGCCCCTTTAATCAGAATTGTGTTTCATTAATTTTTAATTGTGGAAGCTGATGCAGTGCTGGCTCCATGAAGCTGTAGACTGCTTGAAGCAATAGCTGTACATGGTCTGGCCTGCCCATTTTGTCTCAATGGGATGTTTAAATTTAGAAACTAAATAGGACAGTTTAAATGTCAGTATTAGTAATGATCCCACTGCAACCATGTTAGTGAAGCCTCCTGCTAATGTCCTTATCCCATAATCCTAAACAGCCTCTCACACCTTCCCAAAGTAGTGACTCTGTATCCTGACACAAGTTGATGATAGGAGGTCACAGCCTTTGAATGCTTTAGAACTGTATGGTATGCTAGGTCAAGGATTTTGATATTTGTGTGCTCTCCAATCAGTACAATAGGTGAAGACTGGTTTACTTTAGAGTCAAAGAATTGCTGACATCATAACAGCATCAATACGTTCCCTAGAGTCACAGCTAGCAGCATTTTGTACAGTAGATAGTATACAGAGCCTCAGCAGTAAGAAAATGGGTAATAATGTCTGGAGTTCAAGCGACAGTAGTCACGTTTACCATTGTCATTACAGTGGTGACAGATTAGAGCTCTTTAATGACATTACCCATAGCTGGGCTCAGGCCGTGCGACATGGTTGGCTGTATGGAATGCCCCTTCACATAACTTTCTCTCTTCATTCAGAAGTATTGGCTGCTTTGCAGACATACTTAGAGCTCCCTGGGCAATTCTTGCACATTCTTGTAAAAGCTGTTTGACCAGATCAGGACCTCAGAAATGTAAAAATTAACAGTGAGTTTACAGAAGTCAAGTAGCACTCGACACCAAGTGGAAGACATTCACCTGGTTGAATTTGTGTGTGAATAGGTGCATGTAGCGCTGTGGTATACATGTTTGTATTGTGTGACCCAGACTTAAAAATAAAGCTGTTCTTCTCTAAAACTGTGAATAGAAAATGCAATATTTTGCAACTGGGAAGTTATGATAACTGTCGTCTTTTGCTGGTTACATAAATTGGATCTGATGACCGATAGAACAGCTTTTCTTTGAAACATAACTACAGAAACTCAGATCTACTCTGTGTAATACACAGGTGGTAAAGAACAAAGAGAACCACTTTTAATGTGATTAAAAGTTACAAATGTGATGCAGAGCCTCAAATATGTATTCAGCCTAATTCTCACAAAAACAAATATGGCTCTGGAGTTCCAGTAATAGTAAAAAATAAATAAATAAATAAATAAATTATCCCTACTTATTCCAGATCTATATTTGCCCTTGATATACTATATGTACATCACGTAAAACAGCTATGATTTTCTATCTGTTTGTGCATGCGTATTTGCCTGCACTAATTAAATGATCTTTATAAACAATATCTGTATATCATTACATTGTGAGAAAAAGAAACCAACACAATACATCATATAGTCATTTTCTGTAATCTGTGATTTGAGAAAAAAAATAGTCAAGACTTACAGGTATTAATAAAGGTGACATTCTATCCTGGCTGATTCAACAAGGGGAAGCAGAAACATTCCCAGAGCCCTTCTCTTAGCAAACCTGCCATCCACAGTAGGATCCTGAAGTACATTATTAATCAGATATTCCTTGGAAAACACTGCATTAAGCAGAACCACAGCTGACATCTCACTGCTGTTGAGTAGCTCTTGCTGTAGATTACAGCATTCTCATTTATTAGAAGGAGACATTTAGATGCTTCCCAGGCTGTACATGCTGTTGTGCTACCTGGCCATCTTTCCAAACACCCTGTTGAGATCTATGAAGAGAGTTCATCTAACCTCTCATACACATGAAATAAGGCTCCCTACGTCCTTATACGTTCAGGGTGCATTGGTGTGAACACTATCAAAATTACAAATGGATATCCCCAACTTGAACACCACTGCAACAAAGAACACAATTTTGCTCCAAATTAATAGCTGATTTTAAATACCAAGCACAATACCCAAAATTTTAAACACTTTGGATAAATTATCCTGGTCATTTAGAATATTAGTGAACCTCAAGGACATATGTTTTCCTTTTCAGTGATTTTTAATCCCAGCATACTTTTTAATTCCTGTGGATAAACATTGTCCTCATCTTGATCTGGACAGAAAACTCATTACTTTTAATAGGAACTGCATATAGAGATTAGGAGGTAAACAGATACCATACATTCTGCTGGGGCATATAACAATCCCAGTCTACAAAGTCAAATCATGAAGTAAAATTACAATTAAAATATATATTAAATTGGCAAGCATGCTGTTAAAATGGTTTTCAAAATAGTTTGACTATTGGATTGTTGAATAGGGCTGCATTTCCAAACAATGAACTTTACACTGCATCTTTGAACTCTAGACTGAAGAATACACAGCTAATTTTGACAGAAATGCTTTATATTAAAGACCTGTGTATATACTATCTTAAATCACTTAAAATGGACAGATGCTTGTTTATTAACCCTTGTACAGAAAACCTGGCTTTTTAAAATATAGTACAATTAATAGTAGTGCCATAGCACAGGAACTAACTGTTATATTTTCAGTGCTTTACCCCAGCCAATGTCCACTTTGATATGATTGAATTGTAATATATTTTTTAAAGAAAACCTATAAGCTATGTCTGGCTTTTTTTCTCCCTCAGTTGTAACAAAAATTGTTCATTGTTGAAATATTTCTGTTTTCCAAAGATGACTGATGCTCATCATATTGCCCTTCACTACTGAGACTTTCACTACATGTGCTAGTAGGTTACTGTAATAAACTTTCTAATAAAAGACTTGAAATATTGTGTTTGATTTTTGTCAATATGTTTTCTTCTTTGTCCAGAGGCATGGTGACCGTATCCCCCATTTTGTCTGGGATAGTCCTCATTTAAATATCTGTCCAGGTGCTCCCATTGATTTGGTCAAATTAATGCACAGGGCATTGTCTCCATGCATCTTTTTGATACAGAAAGGCAACAGAGTCTTTGAAGACTCCAGTGATATCAAGCAGCAAATTGTTTTCCTAACTGTATTCTAGCAGTAATTATATATATTTTTTCTGATTAAGGAGAATAATTTATTACATTCCCCATGGCACGTGAAGAGCAAAAGTGTTTTATCTCTCACATATGATTAATGTGTGATTAATGCTCCCATGAGCATGAACAGGTGGCGTTGATGAAGTCTTTTTTTTTTAAGAATACAGACAATTTCTTTGTGCTGCAAGGAATCTTGTGAAAATTTCTTTCATAGTACATAAAATGGAGGCAGCTTATCACTAGTGCTTGCATTGTGGCAGGATTTACCGCCTTATTCCCTTCCATTTTTGTAAGATTTTAAATACCATTGAATGTAGACCATGTAACTGGGTTGGGTCTGTGAACATAAGAAGCTGCATACTGGGTAAGTACAGCCTATCTAGTAGTCTGCCAACAGTGGCAGTACTAGGTGTTTTAAAGGGCATATGTAGAGTGATCCATCCCCTGTCACACCTTGACATTTTACCATCATTGGTTTAGAGATGCCAGATGATACATCCATGACTGTTCTGTTTAATAGCTATTAATGGACCTATGACCTATGAGTTTCTTTATTCTCCTTTTGAAGTTGGCTATGCTAGCTCCTTCTACAGTCTCCTGTGGCAATTAGCTTGGGACTGTGGGGCTAACGGAAGTAAAATCTTACTTTTTTCTCACAAAAGTAGGCCAACATGCTTCTAAATACATGCCAGGGAAGTACTGTTAAGTAAAACGTTTTCCCTCATTACTACTCTGCCTATAACTATGGCAAACATTTCAAAGAGTGCACAAAAGAGAGCTGTAGATGCTCTGTAGATATTTGCAAACCAACAAAATAGATGTCTGAATTCAAGGGCTTGAAACCCAGCTGCAGGCAGTCAGCAGATGATAGTGTACCTGGCTGGGAGGACGGGGGCCAGTTGAAGTGATGGTCTGCTAATGAAGGCGAACTATTAAAGAGGCTTAAGAACTCCAGGAGAAAGTGCTGAAGGAGGAGAGGGGAAGCTGTTTTGCTAGGAATAGGACCAGAGCTAAAATTGCTCCTCTCTTAATGTCTGGGAGAAGGCAGAAGGTTTTGGTTTGTTTGTTCTGTTTGTTGTGGAGGCAAGGTGCCCTGTGTAAAATAAACTGGTCCAGGATCCTGAAACCAGAGCTGACTCACGAACCCCCCTTACACTGAGAAAGCCACCTTCATAAGACTTGAAATATGTATAAGACTACAGATTGGGTTTGTATAGTTACATAAACAGTGTACATGTAAAGCAAGGCTTTGTGGGTCTTGTGTTTTGGGGTGCAGTATGATCATTTCTGGGGGTCTTATAATACACTTTTCTCTATGGCACTCTATATTGGCCACTGTCAAAGATGTGATACTAAGTTAGATGGAGGGCTGCTGCTGCATCCTGGTACAAATAATTGTATTCTAGACAGTTACACCTGTTCTCAACAGCCTTCCCAGAGCAGAATTGCAGACCTTTCCTAAGCAAGACCAGCTTGCATAATAATCTGTTTGGAAATTTCTCCCATCTTGTTTACAAATAAGTATCATAACCTCTTCCTATATCAAGAAATCTCTTCCTGGCAAGCCCAAAAGCACTGTGTGGAATCAAGCCCCCGCCCCTCACTCCCACTCTACACGTGCCCAGGACAGAAAGCTGAACGATGTTGCTGAAATGCAAGCTCAAGCTGTCTACTATGACCAAATGCCAGGCAGGGAAATACAGTGAGAACAAGCAGGCAAGGCTTGATTGTCAAAAAGGATCCCAGTCTTCCTAGTGAGGCAGGATAGACGTGCCCTTTATTTCTTTTAGGTTCATGATTTTGCTTTTCTCAGTGTCCTCAAAATAAATGGGAAAATTCCTAATTTGGGGTCAGGTTCTCTCCCATTCTGAGATTTGTTCTGCAGAGGAGAATAGGAGGGAGGCATCAGCAAATTTCTTATTCTCCACCCTAGCTCTCTGGGTGGAGCTGTGCTGGCCTCAATATGTTAGATATACTCGATAATGAGCGCAAACAACCATATGTCAGATGAGGAATAGCAGCATCAAACCCATTTCTGCCTTACCTCATCCACCTTCCAGGAATATGCCAGATACAGGAAGATAGGCATATGGCTTGCCTAGGAGTGATTTAAAGGAGGAAGAACTTTATCTGTGGGTATTTGATTATTGTCTCTACATCTGTATCTATTGGAATCTGGCATAAAAGCTAGAAAAAGAAAAAAATGAGTAGCAGAAAAAAAAGCTGGAGTGTCAGGTATTATCAGCTGTGATTGCTTTCATCTTTTTTTAAGTTTATTTAAAAAAGCTTTAGAGACTGTTTCTATTACAGTTCCAAATCTCCCCTCTGATTTTTCCTCTGATGTCTCCTGCAGGCAGCTGTGGCAGTGTTGGCAGCAGGGGGGCAGCAGTGGCAGCAGCTAGCGGCGATCACCGACTGCCCACAGATGGCACCAGTAGTGTCAGCGGCACTTCTTTCAGGGGGTGCACATATACCCGCGTGCATCCCCTATGCATCGTCAATGGCCCCTGCCACCATTTTTCAGTGCGGGGATGCTGATACATGTGACGCTGGAGTCTGCTAGAGCATGGTAATTACCACGCTCCAGCAGACTTGATTAATTAAGCCTCGATGTATGTGTATAGGCGCCGTGTATGTGGATGCCCAATTCTCCATGGCCAAAACAAGTGCTCTACTCCCAGCTTAGTAACAGCCAGCTGAAATGCTACAAGGACACTGAAGGCATACCTCAAGAAAACAGATGCAGACATCGAGAGCTAGGAGGAGCTGGCTTCCAACCAACTCCAGTAGCACTGCAACCTCAACCATTTCAAGGTAAAGCATTTTGCCCGCCAAGCAAAGAAGAGAGCACGGAGGAAGGAAAGGACAGACATCCTAGCCTATGGCCTACTCTCTCCTGTGAAAAGACCTGCAAGGTCTGTGGATGGATCTGTAGTTCAAGGATTAGACTCTTAATTCACCTCAAGACCCATCAGTGAGTTGTGGTAGAGATCGTGTTTGAATCAAAGGTTTGTTGATGATGTGGATTATTACAGGTTCTCAGAGCAAAAAATATTTTGGGCAGGGGGGCAGTTTGGTTTTACATCAGTGTAACTTAGAGCAAAATTGAGCTCCTTCATTTGAACTAGAATTACTATACTTTTTCCCCCCTAACAGCTCTGTCCCCTCACTATTGTTCATGATCAGTTTAGGGCATGCTGTACATTCAATTTCTGAAGTTTATTTCATAACCAGATAGAAGAGGAA